TGGTCTCAATTATTCAGCCTGTATGACAAACTATAAATATTAATTGTATTTGATCGCGAAATTGAAAAGTTCATGTTTGTATTTACTGTGAAAACATTTTATTCGAGACCCGAATACCTGAAACCGTTTCTCATTGATCAAGTGTACTAATATTTGATTACAAAATATCTATCCGATCAATTGCTACTACAGGCTTCTATATAAACGTATAGTAACAGAGTAACAATGATATCTTTAACATAACAATGATGACTTTAACCTCATATCTCAAGATGAGTGACGGCATTTACGTTGTGATGTACTGTAACCCTTTATCCTGCCAAACGTACGCTCCGAATTATTCAAAAGTATTTACTTATATAGGTAGGACTCGTTTTTTTTGCCGGCATCGACACAGAAAAATATCCTAGCCCGAAAAAAAAGGCCTCACTCTTGGATAAAGAACGTTTATCTTTTATTTTAACGGCCGTCTGGTGTAGTGGCAAGTGACATGGTCACTACTGGTCACTACATACGGGGGTCGCAGGTTCGAATCCCGCCAAGGGAAGATATTTGTATGATAAATATAAATGTCTTTTCTTCTTTAAATATTTATTTATTTATTATTATTATTTTTTGTATACAAGTACATATATAGTAAATAAACAAACTTTATTTAAAATTAATCACACCCCATATTGTAGTACTGTATTCAATAAATTCCCTTAGTAGAAATTATTTACAACTACTAATATGTACGTTATGTGAGTAAATTCTCAAAAGATATAAATAAATAAATCTTCTTCTTCTTTGTCTCCACCTTATCCCACTAGGTAAGGTCGGCACGGCGAATTTCTCTATTCCATTCTCTTCTATCAGCTGTCATCTCAACATTCACTCCTCTCTTTCTCATATCGTCATTCACACACTACATCCATGTCTTATTCGGTCGACCTCTTCCCCCTCTACCTTGTACTACCATTACCATACATCTTCTAGTCACATGCATCTCCTCTCTACGCATCACATGTCCATACCACGCTAACCGTCCGTTCTTTAATTTGTCAACCACCGGAGCTATTTTCACAATCCCTGTGATATACTCATTCCTTTTCTTATCCGCTCTTGTCACTCCATACATCCACCTCAACAATCGCATTTCTGCCGCACGCACTCCTCTTTCATGCTTTACTTTCATCGCCCAGCATTCAGATGCATATCGCAAGACAGATCTAATAATGGTTTTGTAAATTTTGCCCTTGAACTTAAGGGGCATTCTATGATCGCATGCTGTTGCAGAGATTTGCCGCCATTTCACCAAACCAGCGCTTTTTCGGCTCGTTACATCACGGTATATGTTGCCGTGATTCTGGCGTATAGAGCCGAGATACTTGAAGTTTCAAAAGATATAAATATGTAATCTATAACATTAAAGGAAGATATTGTAACGAAATTGTGCCTCGTAACTTGCTCTGGTTATTGACGTCATAATTACCTTATAATTATATTCTTTCGAACTACACAAACAGTAATACCAGAGTGGTTATTCATTGAAATTGAACGACAAAAGAAATAAAAAATAACCGACTGTACGAACGGTCCAATGGGTACAATAGAATTCTTGAATTCAATTTCCTTTTATGATGCACTAGATGCTGCGCTACGATATCTGAAAGATGTTGTTCCGCAAGAGAAAACGCGATGGGAGAAAACGATCTCACATCTGAAATGCTTAAGAGTTTTGCGGCAGAAATAGTTAAGACACTACGGGTTCACCATCCTCCCTACCATTAATTAATCCCTATTTATTTGCACAATTATTATAATTGAGTGAACCACCTCATATATCAAGGTTTGTCAGACATCAGTCGTAAGTTCATCTGCTGTACCTATCCCTGTACCCACTATAAGCTTACTAACAGCAAAAAAAAAAGTGAGATGGCGATAGCTTCAGATGCGGACTCACAATACTTACTTATTACCAGTAATTTGTTATATGTATTTCTTGTTTAAAAGCGTTTATCCCACACTATGTGAAATAAGGGCAAGCAGAAACTTATTTATTTACTTAAAACATCACCTATGCTAAATTTATACGTTTCTCCTACTTGGACTATTTTGGAATGGATATGTATCTTTGTATACTCAATCAATACCTATAAAAATCTCGGTATATATATCACTGCTCAAATGAAATATATATATATATATATCTCTCTCTCTCTCTATTTCAAAAACATTTCTTAGTGTAACATTACTCCTGCTATATAGCTCTCACGAGTAATCGTCACTTCTCCCAGTTTGTGCTAAGCCTGGTACACTCATGCAAACAACCGCCAAGTGCCAACTTGACTTGGTCGGCCCATCGCATGGGCAACCTTCTACGCGGTCCGGTACCTTTTACTTTGCCCCGAACGACAAAGCGCTCTATGGAGTCATTTCCTTCTCGCCGGGAGATGTGTCTAAAAGTGATAGTATGCACCTATGCCATATTATATGCATAGCATCTGCCCACAGCAATGATACTCAATGACGACCACGACCGCTCTGACAAGAGTGATACGACAAAGGAGATATAGCTTTAGATAGCTTTAGAAGTCGTCGTGGCCTAAAGGATAAGACGTCCGGTGCATTCGTATCGAGCGATGCACTGGTGTTCGAATCTCGCTGGCGGGTACCAATTTTTCTAATGAAATACGTACTCAATAAATGTTCACGATTGACTTCCACGGTGAAGGAATAACATCGTGCAATAAAAATCAAACCCGCAAAATTATAATTTGCGTAATTACTGGTGGTAGGACCTCTTGTGAGTCCGCACGGGTAGGTACCACCGCCCCGCCTATTTCTGCCGTGAAGCAGTAATGCGTTTCGGTTTGAAGGGTGGGGCAGCCGTTGTGACTATACTGAGACCTTAGAACTATATCTCAAGGTGTGTGGCGCATTTACGTTGTAGATGTCTATGGGCTCCAGTAACCACTTAACACCAGGTGGGCTGTGAGCTCGTCCACACATCTAAGCAATAAAAAAAAAATAAAAAAAAAAAGACAAATATACCAGCCCTGTCAGCTCCAAGATCCTATACAGAAGTGTCCATTGACACTTCTGTATAATACAAACTTAGAATTAATTTAGAATTACATTGAATTCTTATAGTGGTGCACGTATAATGCACCTAGTCGCGTAGATACATTGAACTAGGCATGTACTACAAAATCAGAATACACACCGGAGCCGAGAATCGAGTTCATTTTAGTCATGATTGCCCCATAGGACCGAGCGCTGTTCACTCATCTGCATAACAATGAACATTCGCAATAGAAGTGGCAGGTTATTGATACGTAGAACATGAAATTTGTGGCGATGAAAATAAAGTTAAATTGTAGATTGTGTAAGCAAAAAACTACACTCAGCTACAAAATTGAATTCTCTTTATAACGAAAACTAAAAGACTTACACGTACCATTGTACCTGAACTAACTTCTAACAAAGTTTTCTATTCCCTGGGGTAATCGAAACTGTCGGCAAAACTCGTCTACAACTACATCCACTTAGTAGGGCTACATACAATAAAAACGGCTAAAAGTCAAGTAAAAGTAAATTATTTGTTCCTAAAATTACGGGTAAATTATTTTTATTTCCTAATCCATGTAAAATAAACCACTCGATCTCAAATAAAAAATTTAAAAGGATTTATTGAATTAGGTAAATATTATAAGTTATTATATGTTATACGTCGACAATTCAACACAGGTGATAGGGCTCATTGTGAGGGTCAAGTCTACACGGTCTATTTATATTGCAAAGGAATTATATCTTATCTTATACCTTTAAACGAGCAATTCTTGTATATTAATATATTTATATATAATCTGAATCTCGGAAACGGCTCCAACGATTTTCATAAAATTTAGTATACGGGGGATTTCGGGGGCGATAAATCGATCTAGCTACGATTTATTTTCAGAAAATGTTGGTTTTATTCGTGTTTCCAACAACTCTTCCCGACATCTATTGGCGAATAATAATACTATTTTTCTTAATTGAGGGCAACTAACCGCTTTAAAGAAACAACAAGATGGCATTATAAAAAAAAACCGAGCAAAACCGGTCATCATCTAGTGTTTATAAAGGTAGAACGGACCTTGAGCAGAACTTTGCATTTCTTATTAATGTTGTTGCAACATTAACGCATGACTTTTGTGGATGCAAAATTGAAGGCAAAGAGCTCAAGCCTTCATGTGAGAGCCGTTTGGTTCGTTGGCAGTGGTAACGTGCTAGCTGTCGAGCCGCTTCAGCAACTAAAAGTGCCTCTTCATCTCCCGTCCCTTTGAAATTTCAGTGGCATATTTCACTTTCGATTTTTCAGCGTATTTTTTTTTTCATCATACATTTCAATATTTAGCATGAATCGTAATATTTATGATTTTCAGTATCATACATTTGTTCACATGAAACGTGAATCCTTTGAAAAAATAAATAATAGTTTAAAACCTAAAAAACACGCTTTATATAAAATTCAATTAAAAAAAAGAACCATGCACCCCACGCTTTTTTTAAAATAAAATATATTTTACACTATTTTCAATTTAAATTTATTAAAATTTATTTTTCATTTTTTAGTTAAATTTTCTATAAAAGCATATTTTTAAAATATTAAGTACTTTAACGACAATTCCTGCTTTATCGACTATAGATAAAAATTATATAAAATGGCAAAAATCTTATTTTGCAAATTGAATAATGGAATAATCTTATCAAATTAGTGTATCGTCATCGGTCCTAGATAAATCTACAAAGTTTGAATGAAATCTGGCCGTTTAAAGTGGGTCAAAATCGCGTCTAAAGGAGTCAGTTACAAACATACATACAAGTGAAGCTAATATAAAGCGTGTAAAAATGGTACCTGTTTGAATATACATCGTCTACAATCTGTCACGGTCGCATCGTTTGGTACGCCCACCGGATATTTTAAGCTATGAGTGCTTCAAGTTTTTTGTGGTTAAGAAATAAATACTTACATGAGTAAAATAGTAATAGTAAACATCGACACCAGCGTCGGCGAGTATTTCGGCGAAGTAGTTAGTGGGGCATACGAAGAAGTAGTCTCCTACGACATCAGCTATCATCTTCTGGTTCAAATATCCGTCGGTGATCTCTTCCCAATCTGTATACTAAAATAATTAAAGGTACAGTTGATTTTATGATATACAAATATTTAATTACTGATTTTAGTGATTTTAAGAAAAACTTTCTATAGTGACACGTTGGATTCTTAATTTAATGAATAAAAAAAATATATATCTTATATATGAATGTAAGTTTCATCAATTTACGTTAAATTTAACATTTACAATCACCGACTGCTAAATAAAACAGTATCTACTGCATTCATTTTGTTGTTTCAGCCCGAAGACTTTATATATTATATGATTTGTTCGCTTAACTAGAAATTAATAATCAAATCGTATCTATCAGGACGCCGTAATAACTAACTTAATTACTGAATTTTGATTTTAATTATAGCTAGCTTGGCAGCTAGGATTTTGTAAGTTTTATCAATTATTAACTACGACAGACGAGCTCGTGGACTAGTTGCTGGAGAGCGGCCAACGCCAGCCATGGACAACGCCATCAGCCTGAAAGGTACCTTGGAACTTTGATCTCTTCTTAAGTTTGAAGTCGTCGTGGCCAAAAGGATAAAGACGTCCGGTGCAATCGTTTCTAGTGATGCAACGGTGTTCGAATCCCGTAGGCGGGTACCAATTTTTGTAATGAAATATGTACTCAACAAATGTTCACGATTGACTTCCACGGTGAAGGAATAACATCGTGTAATAAAAATCGAACCCGCAAAATTATAATTTGCGTAATTACTGGTGGTAGGATCTCTTGTGAGTCCACCAGAGGTAGGTACCACCACCCTGCCTATTTCTACGGTTTGAAGGACGGGACAGCCGTTGTAACTATACTGAGATTTTAGAACTGATATCTCAAGGTGGGTGGCGCACTTACGTCGTAGATGTCTATGGGTTCCAGTAACCACTTAACACCAGGTGGGCTGTGAGCTCGTCCACCTATATATGCAATAAAAAAATAAAAAGTCTCCTTTCAGAGAGACGCGTACTATGTTCATGATTAAAAAGTACCATATGAAATTAGAAATGAAAGCGTTTTAGGAAGTTCATCTATTTTCCATTATCGCAACCATTTAATTCGGTAGAATGTCTTAAATCGTAAATAACAAAACCGCAACGAACTAACTACAGAACGCAGCGTTTCTGCGTTATTAAAGCTAATTTCAGATAGGATATCCTTTTTAGTTTTCCTCGAAGCGGTAGTAATGAGACAAAAAGCGTTTGTTGTTGTGGCAGCGGACAGTTGCTTTAAAATGAAACACGAAACGTTTACATTGTTTAGGGTTTGGCATTTGACCCTTGTTAAACAGAACATATCCATTTGAGAACTTAATTCTCGGGTCCACATTGTGTTAACACGAAAAAGAAAATATTTTTGTGAAACATGAACCACGCTTTTGTATGGATTCGCTCAAACGTAGCTTGTTCTTTAAATTAAAAATGTACCTGGAACACAATGGCTTCTCTCTTAATTTTAGAAAAGTCCTTGAAAATAGTGTCAACGATTTCGAGAAATTTCTCCCTCTGAAGAAAACTAGGCCCATCCTTTTCGAAATAATCCAGGAAGTCGTACAGCAAAAAATATGTCCCTGAAAGAAAACAAAAGACAAATGTAAATTTTTGTGGCAAAATTAATTTTACTCAAAAGTAATAGGTTGATTTAATTTTGTGTAATTCTGTGGTCGGCTATTTTACTATTTTCATTTGTCTGTGTCTGTCATTATTCTATTTGTTTTTACGAAAACTGGACTTTTTGGCGGCAACGCGAGGAGTGAAGTTGTGTGTTTTGTTGTATTTTGTCTATTTAGTATCTTTTCAGGTTTAAATGTGTAATAACGATGGTTTATTATCTGTGAAAGTACACAAATGTGGGAAAATGAAACAAAGCCACTGAGCTTAACTTCACGGGATTCTCCAAAAGTCCACTGAAAAAGTCTCAGTAAATGACCACCATTTTACTGAGATTATATTTCATCCCATATCATCTCATCTCATTTCATTTCATTCCATTTCGTTTTCATTTCATTTCATGCACTGAAGTATGAAACCTATCTATGATTTCATGGCATGTTTCATATTAATCAACTTCATGTCATTTCATAATATCATTTTTCATAAATAAAAAATTATATAAAAGATTAGGCTGTATGGTATGACACCTTTGCCTTTCCAGTTGAAAAAATAAAGCTACTACTACTACAGAAAACTGTCATAATACATATAACAAGTTTCAATTTATAACAGTCTTCCGCATGTTAGTTTAACCGAATATACATAATTAAATAAAGACAATATGTGTTCAGCAGTCCTGAGGTAAGCATGTTGTGTGTCGAAGTTTAACCCTACTCATTATTAAAACACTTTACCGTAAGCCATGTTTCAAAGAGGCAGCGGCCATAATTTTGTATTGTTCATTAAAAATGAGCAAGCGGTCAAGCGAAAATCGTCTAGCCCTATTGTTATTTGAGAGAAGCTTGTTACTTTTTATATGTATTTTGTAAACTTTAAAACAATACCTAGTTTCTATCAAAATTCTTCTTTTCCATTTAACATTGCCAGACAAAACATGTATTGATGGTGTCTCGGTCTTGGTTGTTAGGTAATATCTCTATGGTTTTCAATTTTGGCCTTTGTTGCATTCCGCGATTCAAAAGTGCTTCTTTGAATCATTAAACAACGTAAGGCAATGTCAAATACTAGTGAGTTCTGCTAATGAACTACGTTCGTCAAAACACATTGTTCAAAGTAACGAACGGAAAATACTGCTAGCTAGTTTTATAGACTAGAATAGAATATTTAAAATTTAATTCTCACTCACTTTTAATTGTTTAAACGTCAGAAGAAATTTTTCAGAACAAAATAGTAAACTAACTTTTTACCTTTCTATTCGCTGGCAGCCCAAGAGGCTATTCCAGATACTTTATGGGTGGTATGTGACCTACTTTATAGTAGGTGACCTCACAGGGCATTACCTGAGAGCCTTTAGTAACATTGGTCCTACCAAGAGCAGTGCTTCACAGAATCTACCACCGGATCGGAATCGCGCAAAATAACGAAACGGGATACCTTAACGTTGAGCTAGTTGAGATGATCAACCTAAAAGGATGTAAATGAACTCTAGGTTGACTAAGCTCATCGAGTATGAATTTGTTCGAGCTAGCATACTTAGCCCGTACATTTGACGAGCGTGTATTATTAGTTGTTTTATTAAATAATTGTTTTCGTAAAGTTTTTATTTTTTAAGAATTTTATTTATATCGTAAATGGGTGAACGAACACTTATTTTTATTTATTTATTGCAAAGACATGTGAACAAACATACGGCCCACCTGGTGTTAGGGGGAGTTAGTTAGAGCACATAGACATTACCACATAAATGCTGCCTGCCACCCACAAGTGAGACTTAGATATCAATTTAAGAATCGACGTCTAAGTGTAACTTGTATAGTAATATGGCTGGACACCATACAAACCGACTTCTTGTCGAGCCGCTATTTTCGTTATTGGGTCCAGCCGTTCTTCAGCGCGATCGCCCACTGGAGTCCCACAGGGCTCCGTCCTCTCTCCGCTCTTATTTATTTTATTTATTAATTTCAACTACTCGAGTAGAAACAAGTCCCTGATCGCGAGGAAACTCGGTAGGCAGCGGCTTGGCTCTGCCCCTGGCATTGCTGAAGTCCATGGGCGACGGTAACCACTCACCATCAGGTGGGCCGTATGCACGTCTGCCTACAAGGGCAATAAAAAAAACTCCAAAGCGCAGCCGTAACCTTAGGATAGTGTTTCCAAAAATGGCGCATAGACATCAACCCAGCGAAAAGCACAGTGGTGCTATTTCAAAGGGGAAACTCCACACGCATTTCCTCCCGGAATACGAGTGGAGTCTCATACACCCGATTACCCTTCTTTAGCCAACCTTTACCCTGGGCTAGGAAGGTCAAGTACCTGGGAGTCACACTGGATGCATCCATGACATTCCGCCCTGAATCAATCCGGAAATAGATGACTACTCCCCGAATCCTGATCACGCCAGTCACCGTCGACGCCCCAGACATGTCCTTACGGATCCATCAGATTCAATAACCTTTGCTTTAGACCTCTTCAGCTCTAACACTAGGAGCAGGCTTAGGGACCCCAGTAACCGTACTCGTGGAACTCGACAAAGAGTTCGACGTGCAATCTAACCCATGCATCAGCCCACTGAGTTTCTCGCCGGATCTTCTCAGCGTGTAAATTTTGAGAGAACTTATTTTTTTTTATTTTAACGGACACAGTATTATATAACACAATAATTCCAAAATAAACATAAAAATGTGGTTTGAATTGTGTTTTCTTTTTCCGGATAGCAACAGAATAGAGAACAGAGACATCACAATTTGTAAAAAAATGCTTATAAATATGGAAGTGACGTTGGACTATACTGTATAAATCCTATTTGATTCGTTCACTGCATAAATCGCTTAATTCTATCAGTCACATAAAAAAAAGACGTGTGGCACTCGGAAACTGCCGCGGTAAAGCTATTGCATAGCATTTTTTATCAACTTATGCAATTATAAATCGACTAGAATAATTTAATATTAAAACAACAATAAAATAAGATCCAGCGATAAACTCAGTGGGCTAACTTTCAATTAATCTGCTACATTGTATTCCATTTTGACCACGCACTCACTAGAGGGCGCTACATGGGATAGAGACACGTCTTTGGATGCTAGTTCTAACTCTCATTCGCCCAGAATCAACGGTTTAGCTAGCTTATTTTTAATGCCACTCCAATCACTGAATGAGTAGTAGGAGTAGTAATAAAATTCTTCGACTAAGTGATAGAAAATGGCACGCCCAACGTGATAACAACATTGTAATGTGATATAATTTTCTATTTTACAATTCCGTTTGTCGCCGATAATGGCGCTTGACGCAAAAGTTGAATCGCGCTATCGTTCTGTTACCCACGAAATTATATCACATATTTTGATAGTACACAAATCGGTGTTTAGACTTCTTACTTTAAACACTACACAAGTGCAATGTGTGAATGTGTTGAACGCGAGCTACATAGTAGGCGTAGTGAGGGGTGTAAGGTTTTTTTCGTTACGGAATTTCACGATTCCGCTCTCAAGCCGCGCTCAAGGCCCGCGATAAAATCTATGCAATAGCTTAAAATTGCAAGAATTAATGTTATATACTTTTAGATGAAAGCTACTTCTGTACTTATGCATTCTATTTATATTTTAAAGGGAGTTTTAAAAAAAAACCATACACAGCATTTCATCGAATTTCTCCACTTTTTGCTTTACATAATTAATCGATACACAATGAAGATGTCACATATTGGACTATCTCTAACTCTAACCGGGAATCTAAACTGGGCTCTCAGGTATAAAATGATCAAGAACAACTATACCAGTAAAGTTTCAAACTTCATTATACATTTTGTGTTTCTGATTTGTTTTAATTAAATTTGAAGGCGATTTCTATCTCCTTTTTACTATTTTGATTTAATAAATAATTGACCTAATGCTAAGTATATTTATTGTAAAAGGCTTAATAATTCAAGTGTATGTTGATCAGTCAATATCAATGGCTCATTTGTAAATGCAAACAGTCTATCTCAGTGACATTGTCCAAGGAGTTTTAAGGTCATAAAAAGGTCGGTGTCAGGTTAAAACGACCTTTAAAGTTCTTAGAATAAATTTACCCATCGATTTAAAATAAGAAGTTAATAACAACTCCGACTCGTTCGGTAGTACAGTGAATAATCAATTCAATATTCAACAATTAGAATATCTGTAGGAGTAAACGAGCGCGGCTGTAATTAGCTTTTAATTAATTTGTAGCTGTGGATGAGTAAAAGATTTTACTACGCAACTTGTGTTGGGAAATTATCATTATTGTTGCTATGTATCTGGAGACATGAAGGGGATATTTCAAGAAAATAATGTATCTTTTAAATTTTATTTTCTCCATTATGTGAGCAAAAAACTTGTGTCTTATTAAAATAGAGTATATATGATATATCATGATTACATGTGTAATGTCATCTTAGACTGCCGATGCACAATAGAAACGCGCCCCTAGACTCGACATTCAAAACAAAAGGACCAACAATACATAGCTGCCATGACTGCCCAGTAACAATAAAGCATTATATAAACATCTAGGATACCATGAGATTATATATATTATCGTTCTGAGTATCCCAATTGCAAATGCAAAATGCAGCTGATAATTATGGGCAAAGTGGACGGAAAGAGACGTGCTGGGCGAAGAAAGAAATCATGGCTCCGGAATATCCGGGAGTGGACCGGTATTGCCTCCGTCGAACAGCTGTTCCGGCTGGCTGCAGATAAAAACGAATATAGAAAGCTAACGGCCAACCTTCAGGATTGAAGAGGCACTGGAAGAAGAAGAAATATCCCAATAGTATTTTCTTGAACACAAGTAGAGTGTTGGATTACGTTTTCAGGATAAATAGGTTTATATTTTACTTAAGGATGAAAGTGTATTATGCATTATTTTCTACGGGAATTTTGTTTTTGGCTGTCCGATTTGTTAGTTGACATATTGAATTACCCACATGAAGAGAATACGGTTCGAGGTCGTCGTGGCCTAAAAGTATAAGACGTGCAGTGCATTCGTATCTTGCGATGCACCAGTGTCCGGATCCCGCAGGCAGGTATCAATTTTTCTAATGAAATGAGTACTTTACAAATGTTAACGATTAACTTCCACGGTGAAGGAATAACATCGTATAATAAAAATCAAACCCGAAAAATTATAATTTACGCAATGACTGGTGATAGGACATCTTGTGAGTCTGCACGGGTAGGTGCCAACATCCTGCCTATTTTTGCCGTGAAGCAGTAATGCGTTTTAGTTTGAAGTGTGGGGCAGCTGTTATACTGTAAAAACTGAGACCTTGAGCACTCATATCTCAAGGTAGGTGGCGGAATTTACGTTGTGGATGTCTATCGACTAACCACGTAACATCAGGTGGGCCGTGAGCTGGTCCACACAGAAACCTATCTGAATCTATTATCTGATACATAGCAAGAGCAATTATTTAAGCTCAGAACGATTTACGTTTAAAAATTTAGATTAATTCAAAATTAAATGGAAATCAGCACTTGTTATCATCACAAAATGTAAAAAAGGTTGGATCAAAATCTTGTAACGTAACATTATAATCTCCACTCTGAATTTCATTAAATACAGGAAAGATAAATTGACAAGCACCCCATCATCATAAGCAGTTATATTTGTTTGAATATCTGATAAATTCATTCTAAACAAAAAATGAATATTAACAACGTTTTTGTGTTTAATTTATGCAAATTCATATCACACACTTCCAGACATCAATTTGTCTCTTGAGTAGTTAGTTACACTTTATAAAAGGTTTTTTTCAAGAAAGGTGGGTTGATTTTAAGTTTTCCAAAATATTCTAGGTATATTGAATATTTTATTATTTCAACAAGTTTTCTTAAATGTAGCTGTAGTCGACTGTGGAGAAGGGTGCGTAGCAACAGTCTGACACGAGGTGGTGTGTGGGGAGCGAGGCGTAGGGAGCTTCGAGCTACGTGGGCGAGTCTGTAGTACCTTGTAGTACGACTAAAATCTACAGCGTGTTATTGTTGTGTCTACATAGATTTGCGCATGCGCGCCACCCGCCGCTCGTGGATCGCCTAGACGCAAATGACCTCGAAGCTTACTATTGATATTGATAGGACGAACTTGAAGAAATTTTACACACGACGTAATACACTACTATTTAGCCTCTTAAGATGTCATTTATTTGATTAACTTAATTTAGAAAAATCTTACCTTCGTCTTGGTTACTGCCAAGTAGCACTTCACTATTATGGAAATTTCCTTCCTTCATCATGGTATCAGGATCTTTTGGCAAAAAAATACCATCAACCGTAGGTGCGGACGGAAAACCCAAAATTCCAGTATAAGAATTCCATTGCTGGACAGAAATCGTTTTAGCGTCAACTCCGCGCATGCAATCCATTACGAGACTAGGATCCTTGGCTAAAAGACTACTGTTGCAGTTACAGTCATCAATTAATACTTTTCCAATATCTTGAGCTCTTTCTCCAGTCATCCAACTCCAAGGTGCATTCAACGTTCCTGATTGCAATATACCTCTTTTAAACAATCCTTTCATTTCAGGTGATAGCATATGAAGGCTTACACTACCGCCACCGGCAGATTCCCCGAACAGCGTAATGAGTTCAGGGTCTCCTCCAAAAGCACGAGCGTTCTCTTTTATCCAACGAATAGCGAGTTGTTGATCCCATAAACCCATATTTCCAGGAGCTTCTTCACTACCCGGAGAAAAATATTTATTCAAATATAAAAATCCAAATGCACCAACCCTGTATTGCATAGAAGCCACTATTACGTCGCTTGTAGATGCCATTATATCTGCTTTATATAGGTCAAGTGTAGCCGTGCCACTCATGTAGCCACCGCCGTAAATCCACACAAGAATCGGCACTTTAGGTCTTTCGGCGAGTGGTTTATCTTGATGGTGACGAACTCGTAAGTGCTGTGGTACCCAAATATTCAAATAAAGGCAATCTTCTGATATATTAGTATTTGGATTCCACATTTCTTCTCCTTCGAAACCTGGGAAATATTCGTAGCGTTCTTGATAGCAACTGTTTGGCATTAAGTTTGCTTCAAGCACGCCATGCCATGGCTCGATTGGTACCGGTTTACGGAATCTCAGGGGTCCTAATGGAGGTTTCGCAAACGGGATACCTGTAAAAATGTGTACCTCGCGTCCCATTACAGTTTTTGCGTATCCTTTGATGAGACCGCTCTTTGTTTCGACAATAAGTGGATCGTTGTGGATATTTTTTGGTACCGGACTTGTCGTTGGGGTAGTTTGTGTTGTAGATGTTGTGGTATCATGGTGATTGGCCCAAGATCGAGCAAAAGTACCGGATATGAGTACGCATAGAAGAAGCTTAGTGAATACAATCTTGCCGTAGTTGATCATTGTGATTCTGATTGCCACTACACATTCAATGAGAAGTATCGAAATACAATCTGAAGTAGTCTGCGAGTTTTATTAAGTGCTTGTTATAACACATTTCTAGATTAGTTCTTTTCAATATTGATACTGCGATACCTGGAACAAATAAAAGTTCATGAAATAAAAAGCACAAATTCTTTATTATGTTGCTTTATAAGATTTATTGTTATCCAATGAAGGATAATGAATATGAAATTATTATGTTTCCATGAATCAGGAAGACTGAGATTAATTTTGATTATTATACAGTATAACCGAAGCCAAAAGAGATTAATCTAACCTTAATACAGGGGAAAATAATACTTATTTGGTAAACGAATCATAAATGATATTCGTTTTTGGAGGTTCGTTTTTCATGAGCCTGCAATTTAAAATGAAGTTGGGGGAATAAATGCCCTCATGGACACACATCTGTTCACCTATTCAGGTGTCAGGTCAAGTCTGGTTTGCTCAGGTGTTTTAAACGTACACCATGTTGAAACACAATTTTAAAATGGGTCTATCTATCACTCTGCTTATAGAGCACATAGATAAAGTAAGGAATTTCAAAACATACATAAGCGTTTTATTATGAACAAAAATTTGTTTGTAAGCAAAGTAGATTTGTTAGGCTGTTATATTTTGTTTGGCATTTAATTTCAAGTAAAATTGAGGAGGGTTTAACATCCTTCAAGATTATAGTTATGTTTCACAGTGTTCAGGTTATCAAATCGCACCCTTAAAATATAAATGACACTATACGAAAATGTTCATTTTACAGTATGGCCGTTTTAAGTTTTTTTAAGTATTGTATGGGTGATATGGAACATAAAAAATGTAAATAAAGCTTCGTGATCGGCTTAAAATAACAGTTTAACTAACGCTGTTTCAGAATCCAGTGGCGTACCATAAAATTATTGATTATTTATCAATGGAGAAGCATTTAAAAAAAAAGTTTTGTATAGTGTCGGTTATAGTTTGATAGTTATTCAATAATTTTTGCTTAATGACCTCTAAGTCGTTATTTTACCTACATTGTAATGATAAAAAAGAGACAAATAAAACAATATAATTACTGAAATATTAAAGAATACTATTTATTTGACTCACGCTCACAGTTTTAGGTCAAAACTACCGCAAATAATCATTAAAAAAAATCTGTCTAAATCTAGACAATGGTATTGTCAAAAAAACAGAAACTTAGGATTTGTGTTTGAATAAAATTCGTAATTTTATCAGAATTAATATTATATTAGAATATTGTTCTTACTACTTACTAATCAATACAAATTAATAGAGGTATTCCAAATTAAATACCAAGGTTAAAAGTCTTTCAAAGTAGGAACTGTAAAAGTTACGTATAAATCAGCGTATTAAAGGCTTAATCACAAGAGTCAGCAAAAATATTATTTATTATAACTTACAGTAGGTACTTAACTTAAAAATATTGTTTTTCACAAAAAACCGTAAGTAATTATAAAAAATATTGTATCAACATCATGTAGGTAGGTACATCCTATAAAATCTTGTAAAACTGAATTATGTAAGAGCCGGTCGTCTTTTAGCAATTCGGTCTTAAGCATCAAGTTCTAGAACCGAGAAAAATATGAATAAAGTGACAGTAACTTAAAAACATTTCCGCACAAAAATCCGTAAAATAGATCACAAAAAAACACCTATCAAAAACCTCTTCTTACAAATAATAATTAATCAACTACATTTTTAAAGGGTGGACACTACCCACCTAGTTCAAAACTCTGTCAAAGTAGGAATTGTAAAAGNCATAGTGCCGGTTTATTAGTTACCGACCGTACAAGTTGTTACAAATTCATAAGTGACACTAGTAACATCTAGCGAAAATTAAGCACATTAGAGCTACAGGGGTCTTTGCATTAGGCGCGTTTCGTCTTACGCATTTTGACACTATACTTAACTAAAAAATAGCATTTTTTGTATAGTGCCATTTATGTTTTAAGGGTGCGAAATATTTTTTTTATAGAAAATGTTCATTTAAATAATTGAAGTGTGCTCTTGAATTACGATAATTAAATAAACATAAATAAAGTACTGATGAAATTTCTGAATTTTACTTATGTTTTTGGTTTGCTGAATAAAATACAATCACCGAAATTGCAAGTTCTTTCTTTATTGAAATATAAAAATACATACATTAAAGGTTGCTGTCGTCGAAATGGTAAATCAATCACAATCAAACCGTGCGATTGTTAGTGGAGTAGAGTTAGTGGTAGTGGGTTGGTCGTAGGTAATAACTATGCAATGGATTTACAGTTTAAGCATGTCAGTGTCACAACCTTTAAAATTATTTGTTCATGTTTATAATGCTAGTCTTTTACCAATTTAATTTGGATCTACTTTAAAAAGTGGTTACTCAGCGTAAACATATACAAATTTAATTTCGCTTGTAACGTTCAGCTATCCAGTGGTATGTGTTGAATTACCAATCTTTAGTCCTTATGAAATAGAGAGAGTGAGAGAGAGAGTATTCTTTATTGTACACCAAAAAACAAATAAACAGTGCGATACATTAAAAACAAAAAAGTACAATTGGCGGTCTTATCGCTAAGAGCGATCTCTTCCAGACAACCATCAGGTGGACAAGAATCATTTGGAAACGATCATTTGGATTGTCATTTGTCAAATAATGACATTACTTAAGATAAAAGCATGGGATAGCCCTCAGAGACGTAAATTGATGGTAATACTGTCTATCTGTTAAATGTATTTAAAGTTTAGTAGAAAGATACTCTTGTATACGGATCTAAAAGATAAAAAAAATATTGTCATTAAAATTATTTCATATTATATTATTGCTTATATACTATTTGTAACGAACAAGAATACGTATCTAAATTAACTATAATAGTTCAGTAAACAATCCTTTTTCGTGGCATATTTCGGTACGAGTATAGGTACGATTTATTCGTACTTAATACTTAATATTATATTATACTCGTTAATCTATATCTATACTAATATTATAAAGAGGAAAGATTTGTTTGTTTGTTTGTTTGTTTCGAATAGGCTCCGAAACTACTGGACCGATTTGAAAAATTATTTTTCCATTATAAGCCGACATTGTCCCTGATGAACATAGGCTACTTTTTTTTTTTTTTTTTTGGTTTCCTGTGTGTTTAAATGTTTCCGAAGCGAAGCGAGGGCGGGTCGCTAGTTGAAGAAATAAAGTTAGCCTTAAATTGAAAGGCGAACTTTAAACAAATTCACATCATGCTTAAAATTGGAGCATACCAAACAACGTTTGTACAAGCCACAGTCTCTCCGGGGAGGAGTACTCCTTCTAAATTTACTTACCTTTACTCTGTAATCTGTATGCAGAATGTCGTGTCTTCTAACGAAGTCCGAGACCCTGTAGCGTCCCGTCGGGATACGAGTTATGTTCCTTAAGTTATGACGCGCAGTTAAATATTCGAGTCCCCCCTGGATTGCAAACTGAGACCTCTTGTAGCAAGCGATCCCTGTTATTAGGCTATTAACTTTTGAGTGGACAATCAATCTTCACAGTCGAGAACGTTTGATGTATCGATTGATAATCAATTTCTATTTAACGGATATTGGCTTATAATGAAATATATATACTACTAAATAGATATATGATTACACAGACAATTCAGTGTTTGTTTACTTTGTTAAGTAAGTTTAATTACGGTTTATGTCAAGTGCGAATGTTTTTCATTTGTCGTCGTTAAAGGATAAGACGGTGTTCGAATCTCGCGGGCGGGTACCATTTTTTCTAATGAAATATCTACTTACTTAACAAATGTTCACGATTGACTTCCACGGTGAAGGAATAACATCGGGTAATAAAAATCAAACCCGCAAAATTATAATTTGCGTAATTACCGGTATCCGCTACGATTAAAATCGAAAACTTTTAAATTTCCATGGCAAGACAGCGTCGCTGGTGTAATCGAATTTTACATCAGAGTTCAATAGTTTAACAAAACGTTTGAACTAAAACGAAATGCAGAAAAATATGTATTTCTAAAAATGTATCTAGCTTACATATTCCGAAATGATACTGCTACCAAAATCGATCCGATATTTATTACATTCTAGTAGAACAATGACTAAAATTCCTTCTTTTTTTTTAACTATTCTGGTAGCCTTTAGAGGCTATGCCAGCGTAACCGAGTGACTAGGTGAGCTCACGAGGCTCTAACCTGAGGACGTTGCTAGCACTAGCCCTAGCAAAAGCAATGCGTTGCAGAATCTACCACTAGGTCGGAAACGCTACCAACTGAGAAGATCCAGCGAAAAACTCAGTGGGCTGTGTGTGTTAATTTATTCGCCGAGCCCTTCGTCGCAAGCGACGGGTTCGACGTGAAAGGTGATCGGTGCCTGAGGTACCTAAAAGCACCGAAGTGGATCGGGAGGTTCCGAAATGACATGTTTGGGGCGACGTCGACTGTTTATCATTCGGTCCGCGGGATCGGGTATGAACTTATCGGCAACCACGACAAGAGGGTTTTCGTGTCGTGCCGCCTTCTCAAAATGACGCACTGATGCCGACTGGAAATACTCACTGAAGGAGTAAATCTCCAGATCGTGGAGATTCACGTTCCTCATGAACCACGGTGCTCAGACGACTATCTTGCAAAAACGGGACGCAACAATGGGAATGGGAAGGGGTTTCAAATTAGTATAATTCCTAAGCAAATGTTTTAAAACTGAACATCACAAGGTTGTTTTTGTTAGTTAAATTTAATGTACCAATGTAAACTCATTCAAAATCAACAAATTCACTTATAAATATTGACAGAAGCATTGAATTAATTAAACATTCTCTAAAAAAAAACAATGCTTACTCAATAAAAATAATATCTTTGACAACATTCTCCAAGTAGCACTCAACAAATTTCTCGCATTTTAATCAATGTTAAAGTGTTTTATTCAGTGGGTCCAAGGGGTCTGTGTATACAAGGGCAAATAACGTAAATAATTCTGCTCATAAATGATGATGACAACAGAAGCTTAGAAACAATAACTGGCACCCGAATATACTTTTCAAGAACTCTACATTTAGTACTGATCAATTAGCTATATCCGTCAGTTGTCCATTTTCTTTAGAATTGAACTGA